CGGGGCCCGGCCTGCCCCCCGTCCCCGTCCCGGTCCCGGTCCCGGCGGCCTCGCCTCGCCGGTGGCGGAGGCCAAACCCAGGACCTCCTTTCCGGCCGGCCGGCTGGGCCTGCAGGTTGCGCTGAGTTTGAGGAAGAAGAGTGGGGAGGGGGGAGACAGTGGTCTCCTGGAGACAGCAACTTCGGTGAGGTGCTAAGGGGAGGCTCTGTGTCGTTTTCCCCTTCCCCCCTCCCCGGCAGGGATCTACGAGTGCAAAGAGAAGAGGGAAGATGTGAAGTCAGAAGATGAAGATGGACAGACCAAGCTCAAACAAAGGAGAAGCAGAACCAATTTCACACTAGAGCAGCTGAATGAGCTGGAAAGACTTTTTGATGAGACTCACTATCCGGATGCCTTCATGAGGGAGGAACTAAGCCAGAGGCTGGGACTGTCTGAAGCTAGGGTTCAGGTAAGAGAAAGACTCTGTTCCTGGAAACGTCCTCACCTCACTTCCTAACTGCCAGCGGATCCTAGCACAGTGCCCTGTTTCATTCAAAGCAGGGAGGTGAAGGCAGACTCGACACGTGTGTTTGGGAAGCTGTTTGCAATGCCGGTGTACCTGTCCTGAAAAATAGTAATTCTGCTCTGAGAATATCTGCCCGTTCGTTGCATTTCCTAGGAAGGCGGTTTGTTTGTTTATTTATTTTCTGGTAACGAGTCTCAAATTAATAACTAAGCGATCTACTTGGGTTTTTTTAAGCTATCATATTTTTTCCTTGCAAACTTGCCAGTGAATAACCGCTCCTTTAGTCCTCAACTCCTCTCCCCCACCTTCCTTTTTGTGGAGATGTTATGAAAAAAACAAACAAACAAACAAACAGAAAACAATTGCCAAGGTTAAGGCTAGACAGTTTGGGTGCTCAGGGACGGGATTAGCCAGAGCCGGGAGAAAGGTTCCCCCTCTGATTCACACAGCAAGCATATGAATGCATGGCACCCCATCTGGTGGAGCCTCCCTCCGTCCCTCCCTTCCCGCTTCAGAGACAGCTAAATATCAATTAGCCTTCTAAACCTTGAGAACATGTCTGGATTGCTCTATTTCTGGGACCATCAGAGCTGCCTGTTGTGGTAGCTCCACGTGGATTATTTTCAAATTCGATTTTTGGTTTGATCGGGAAGGGGGGAACCTCTTCCCCCCAAAAAAACTTAAGCTAACTAGGGAATCTATCCCCAAAACAGATGTCGCACAAAAAACTAGAGAGAATTAATGAGATCAACCTGTGGCTCTCTGAACAGGCCTACAGAGCAAGGGAAACGTGAAGGAAACCCCTTATTAGGTTATAACTCTGTGCTTGGCCTAGCAGACCCAAAACAAAACAAAACCAAGAAGAAAAAGTCACCAACCCAACCCCTCCAAACAAACAAAACGCCTTCGCCTCCTGGAGCTAATAGATGCACATGCATATGTATATCTAGTTCTATGGGTATGTGTGTGCACGCACATAAGTACGTGTGCATAGATATACATGAACGTCTTCGTGTGTACACAC